GCATCCCCGACCTGAAAAACAGGGCAGAGGGAGGTGGACTTGGAGGAAGTCGGGAAAACCAACCAACCAAAGGGTTTCATTGTTCTTCTGATACTAAGAACTAAACATTACTTACGACTTTTAGTTCAATTTACAGAATCACAGAATGTGCTGAGTTGGAAGGGACCCACAAGGATCATCCAGTCCAACTCCTGGCCCTGCTCAGTCCCATCCCCAGAGTCACCCCCTGTGCCCCAGAGGATCATCCAAAGCCTCCTGCAGCTCTGGCAGCCTTGGGGCTGTGCCCACTGCCCTGGGGAGCCTGTTCAGTGCCAACCACCCTCTGGGGGAAGAACCTTTCCCTGAGATCTACCCTGAGCCTGCCCTGACACAGCTCCAGCCATTCCCTGGGGCCTGTCCCTGCTCCCCCCAGAGCAGAGCTCAGTCCTGCCCCTCCTCTGCCCCTGCCCAGGCAGTTGGAACTGCAGGGAGGTCTCCCCTCAGTCTCCTCTGCTCCAGCTGAACACACCAAGTGCCCTCAGTGTCCTCACACGCCTTCAAATCCAGGCCCTTCCCATCTTCACTGCCCTCTGGACACTCTCCAATGGCTTCAGATCTTCCTTACATTATTTAAAGACATCTGGAAGCTCTGTATGGAACAGCCTGCCCTGGCCATGCCCCTCCTGCCCATGGCAGTGGTGCTCCGTGTTTGCCGTGGGCACCTCAGCATCCACGAGGGCTGGGGCAGAAATCCTGCACCTGCTCCCCTGGGCTCAGAAACATCAGGCAGGTTTGAACCATGTCACCTGAGTACTGGAGGTGATGCAGTGTCAGCCTGAAAAGTCAAAAAGGATGCTCCAGAAACGGTGCCACACCTGCAGAGCAGGGAGTTACAGGCACAGAGCCTTTGGCACAGCTGCCACCTCCCTGGGAATGGTGTCCTGAGTGCAGTGAGGGCATGTGGTTCACAGGAAAGGGCTTTCCAAGGGTGCTACACAGATCAAATAATGGAACTGATGAGTCCTTAAACATGCCAACAAAACGGATTTTGAAAATAGTGACTGAATTCAGTGAAGGGCAGTGGTTGATGTGACTGAGGAATGTAAGGTTACCCAAATGGACACCACTGGGGAAGCACCTTCGAAGAGGCTCAGGGGGACTCCTGTCAGAGGAAAGATCTCAATATCTGTCGAGTTAACGATGTTCTACCCCAATCCAGAAGAGATCTAAACCCGTAAGAGAGCACAAATCACTGAGTGTAGTGCAATGGAAGCTCTTACTGTACATGAACCAAATTCAAACAACACAGACATTTCCTAACAATTTAATAAAATACTTGTTTTGGTGTGACATGCCAGTCATGGTGAGTCCATTGGAGCTACCACTCTCTTTTTATCATGGTACATTTGGCTTGGTTCAGTTTGGCTCCCCTACCTAGGGATGTTCTGAGGGGCAGTAATGCTGTTTTAGAGGGAATGCAACAGAAGCAAACAATATAGTTGACACAGAAAATTAATTCTATGACTCCTATTTACGTGCAAAATAGTAAATAAAGTCTATGAAATTGAAAGGCAACATATAATGCTGAAATTATTCTAAAGATCTTGGTTTTTTTCACACAATATACATAATATGCTCCTTGTTTCCATAAAATCATACTGAAATAAGAGCTATGGAGAATTTAAGAAATTAGACTTTTATAATATAGTAAGAAGCTCATATTGCCAGTAGGGGTTGTTGTGTAGTTCACCAAGAATCTACTTGCAGAAGAAAACAAACCAAATTCAAGAGTTCTGTAGTGAATTAAGTTCCTCCAAGTTCTTCCCAAGATTACTTTTGGTCTGGCAAATATCAAATATTCCTTGTACTCAACACATCAAATAGTCAGCAAAAGTGGGAGTTCAAACACTTAGCAAACTGGTCCTGCTGAAACAAGCTGTATAACATGACCTTTTTGTACAAATCTTCCAAATCCTTCCTTTAGGTGTTGTGATTTGTAAACTCAGCTGCAGCCTGAGCTGTGTAACAGGGCAGCTGATGCTGAGCTACACATCAGTCTGGCAGAGCTTTGGTTTAATCCCACCCAGCTGCTCCTGCAGAGCCACACCAGTGCTGCTCCCCTCGCTGCCTGTGGAAGTGCATGAAGTAAATAAGATGATGAATTTAGCAAAAGAGTCAGTATTTGAAAACCTCAGCAGGGACAGAAGCTGAGCTTGGAAACCAGCACTGGCTTGACCCCCCTGAGTAGAGCTGAGTGCATAAAAACCCAGTGACTTATTACATCTGCAATTTATGGCATTATTTAGCTTAGCAACAACTGGATTTCCTGTAAAGTTAAGGGAAATAGAAATCCCCAGAATGGAGCCTGGACAGTCGTTCCAGCTCTGTGAGTTCTGGCGAAAGTCATCATGGAATAGTGCCCAAAGAAAATGCACTGTCAACCTTGGGCATTCACAATGGGGGCTCTGGGACAGCTACTGGGGGACCTTCCTGCCCCAAGAATATTGCATTTTATGGTTCTGAAATGTGCTGATTTCCTTCATTGTGCAGACAGACATATTTTTGGGTCCGGTACTCCATAAGAATCCTTAATTATTTCTTGAGCACTGCAGCTGGTATTTAGCAGATTGCTATCTTAGCTTGAGCTGCAGCATAATTTAGATCTGTTTGGATTTCAGACATTCCCAGAGTTAGTTCACGTAATATAGAGATGACAATTCAGTAAATATTCATTGTAGTTATGGAGCTGGTTAAGATTTTAACCTATAAAATATTGAGAATATTAAAGTATGATGAAAATCTTCTCTAACAAGTGTGGGTAGAGGCTGTGATGTTTGATAGGAGATGTGCTGGTGGTATTGACTTCTGACATCTGGCAGCCTGGTGTCAATTGATGTGCAGTCTGAGGAACATTAAGAAGTTTGGTGGGACACAAAAACCCCTCCCATATAATTCAGGACTTAGAAGCTCCCTCTACTTAGATGACATTCAAGGCAACCCGAAATATTAACTGTCACTTCTCTGTTGTTCTTATAAGGGAAGTTGATGAAATACAAAGTAAAACCTTACTATTCTGTAGTGATTACCTTGAGAGGACTTGTCAGCTCTCTCCTGATGTGGAGAAAGTAAGGGAGCCACACAGATGGTGTGTTTTGTTGAGTCTCTGCCCAATAAATGGATTGAAGAGAGCCCTGTCTGTCTACTCTGGAGATGTTCAGTTGGGAAACTGGAATGAAATGTAAGTTTTGAGCCAAGATTTTCAGACCCAGGTGGCACAGGCTCCCTCCTCTGCATCAAATCACGCTGTGCTTTAGTTTCCCCAAGAAGAAATACAACAAAGTCCGTGTCCCTCACATCTGACTGAAAAAGCAGATGAAAATGCAGCCTTCTTTTCTTGCCCCACACATGGAAATTATTTCAAGGTGTTCAGGAAAGGGGCAGATTTGAAATGTGTGTGAAAGGAACGTGGGGCCAGGCAAGCTGGAATTTCAGAGCCAGACAAAAATGAGGGAAAAAAAGCAGCAGCATCACGAGTAGATGTGGAAACTTCTAAAACCCAAGGGATTTTGCATTTGATCAGCTAAAACACCATGTGAAGGATCCGCTGAAAACAATAAAACTGGAAGTTTGTTGGTTTGGTCTGTCTTGCCAGGAGTCCAGTGTTTATCCCCAACAGTGCCCAGGGAAGGTGGCACAAAGGGACAGCACCAAGAGCCTGGTGACAGAGGTAAAAGGAGGTAAACTCCACTGTCTATGCAATGGAGTTCCAAAAGAGGGACCTATAAACATGGGTAATTTTCACTGGCATCATCCAAACCCTGTTTGAGGCATTAATCTGCCAAGTTTGGTGCCAAAGGTCAAGAGGCAGAGCTGGAGGTGGTTTTAGCTGTACAGAAAGGCAAAGGGGCTGCTGATGCTGCTCATGGAGCTGCAAAGGCAAAACTTGGCATTTCTTTAAACCAGAGCTAAAAATTAGATGGATTGAAGAAGATTCTAATCAGAAATATCACCCAGAACAAGAACAGCATTAAGGATATTAATGGATCTTTGCTGTCTGTTGGAAGAAAGGGGTTGTTTCCTTCCTTTAGTTTTGCCATGACATGGGATCCTACATCCACTTTGGAGGATATTTCAAATTTCTGACTGGATTTTCTCTTTTTTTTTTTGGTCTTTAAAGCAGATGAAACCACACAGCACAGAAGGTTTAATTTCTTAGGGCTGCTCAGGTCCCATTGCTGGAGCACACAGGATTTCATCCTTGCTCTCAGGGGAGGTGATGGAGCCATGGATGGAGTCGTGGTGGTGCTCTTTGGTGGTAGAACAATGAAACACTGTGATTTCCCAATTTCTCATTGTGTGATTCAACCACCAGGTCACCTTTTTCTATCTGGGAGCTCTTTCTTTTCTTTGGTGCCAAATCTGCGCTCTTAATTTTCA